AGTAAAAAAAAAAAACTGTTACTTTAAAACCATTGCATGTATGCTACAGGGCATGACAGTTACGTTACCGTTATTAAGGACCAAGATATCTAGCACATGACGGAGAGATGCAAGGGGAAGCCTCATGCATGGCTGGTGGGAATGTAAACTGGCGCCACCACTTTGGACCCAGCTTGGCAGCTCCTCAAATTCTTAAACCCAGAATTACTGAATTACCCAGCAATCTCACTCCTAGCTATCTGCTCAGGAGAATTAAAAACCTACGTCCATAGAAACATTTACACAGAAATGTTTGTAACAGCATTATTCATCATAGCCAAAAACTGGGAACAGCCCAAACATCTCTGAATGGTGGAATGGATAAACAAAACATGGTCTCTACCAACAAAGGTACCCTATGTAGCCATAAAAAGGAATGAGGTACTGAAAAATGCTACTAGGTGATGAACGTTTGTAGTATAGCTGCCTCACAATGAGCTGTTTTTGACTGTAATGCAAGTGCCTGACTGTACAGAAAGCCTCTGACGTCAAGGACATCTGTCTTGGATGCACACAGCTGCTACACAACTCGAGAAAGAGCCCAGCCACCCCACTCTGAGGATCCATCGGCGACAGTCCAGGGGCCAAAAATCATTTGCTTGAGTGACCCCACTCTCCCCTTCCTATGTCTTAATTCTCACCTTGTATTTTAAATTCACCAATAATGAACCTGCAACCCCCCAATCTGACCCCAATAAAGCAGAACCCCAGATCCCCTTCTCATGCATCCTCTCTCTCTCTCCTCCCCTTTCTCTCTCAAACCTATCAGTCATCACATTAATCATAACAAAATGCTCCAGTTATGAAACCGACAAAGGCTTGATCTCCAGAATATATAAGCAGCTCATATGACTTAATAAGAAACAACCAAACATCCCAATCCAAAAATGGGCAAAAGACCTAAACAAGCAATTCTCCAAGGAAGAAACACAAATGATCAATAGGCACATGAAAAAATGCTCAATATCACTAATTATCAGAGAAATGCAAATCAAAACTACAATGAGGTATCACCTCACACCAGTCAGAATGGCCATCATTCAAAAGTCCACAAATGACAAATGCTGGAGAGGCTGTGGAGAAAAGGGAACCCTCCTACACTGCTGGTGGGAATGCAGTTTGGTGCAGCCACTGTGGAAAACAGTATGGAGATTCCTCAAAAGACTAGGAATAGACTTACCATATGACCCAGGAATCCC